GTTTTGGCTAAAGAATTAAATGCATTTGTTATGACCTTTCTCTCTCTCTCTCTCTCTCTCTCTCTCTCTCTCTCTCTTCTATAAAGGAAACTGTCTCATATAATTTCAATAAATGTTTGAATTCTGTGAAATTCCACTTTTATCTGAAAAATATTCTTGAATTTCATAATGAAATACTTTTCGTAACATAGCATTGGGACTGTTGTGTTTCAATAGTTAAAACTGGAATTCTATAAATAAATTGATAACATTTCTACATCTTGTTGATAATCTTTTATTGGTAATTGCTCATTAGAATACCTTAATGCAAGACCTCTTGAACTTATTGTGTAATGAATCATATACTGATATGCTAAAATTCAGATTCTGACAGTATAGGTTTTGATGTGGCTACTTTCTTTAATTCTAACAAGTTCCTACTGGTGCTTGTGCAGCTGCTCTAAAGATTACATTTTAGGAGGGAAAGTTTGAAACAGCACTCAGGATAGCTCTACTGGTAGGGTAGTCTGTAGTTGTGGCAGGGCAGCATGTAGTTATATACAACACAATCTGATCGAAGGTTTTGGGTGGTATATAATATAATAGTCTCACCAATTCTATATAGTGGTTAAATATTATTTTTATATGCTGAAATTGAGATTTAGAGGGCTATGGGTGTGGCTCAGTTATACAGTGCTTGCCTGGCATGCTTGCAGTCATAGATTCAATTCCCAGTACCAGGAGAAAAAAATAAAAAAGAGGAACAAAAGAATTGGGTTTAGAGAAGATTGGGAATGACCAGGATACAAACACAGGTATCCCCTTACTTAGAGCCCAGCTTCTTAAATAGAGAAGAAACAATTATTTTTCCCAAAACTATTTAGATAGATAAGTATATTTCACAAGAGCTACATCAGTTACATACAGTTCTCAAACTGATTTGATGACCTATCAAATCCCTTATTGGATTTGATTTGATGACTTTATTTTGTTTTCTTTTTTTAACACTCAGAATTTATATTTCCAGAAAGTTAAAAAAGAAGATGATGATGATGATGATGATGAAGTCACTAGACTCAGCTTACCTCTTTAATCAAGTCCTATGGTTACCAAGCAACAAGTTAAGGATATTCCACAGGGTTACGATATGGATATGGATTTGGATTTAGATATGGGTTAAATCCTTGGTATGGTAAGAATCCTGGGTTTGATCCATATGGATATTTCTGAAATTTCCGCTGCATATTCACAAAAGAAAGAGAAAATTAGATTTGAGAGAAGTTACTACAAATGTCTCACAATGTCACAAAAAGATTAGATAACTATAAGTCCTAAGAAAGTAAATATCAATTGCATGATTGTGTTTTCAAACTCTTAGTTTTGATTTCACTTTTTAAAAATAAGAAAAATGTTTAAAAGAAGATAAAATGATAAAGCACTTACATATTAACTCCTTATTGACAATTTAGTGATTAGACAATACGTTCCAGACCACTGATTAGAGTCAACCACTTTAAATGAGATTTCAATCTGTTATCATATTGCCTCTAAGCTAATACTTTGCCAATCCTTGAATATTACAGGGAGGAGGAATTTCCTACTTCCAACTTCAATAGAATCATGTTACTTCCCTTGGTAATCTATAGCAAATTTTGGACTCTTGAAATTTTCATATGTTTAATATTCTTTGTATAGAACATTCCTTATCCTTCCTTTTGTAAGTTTTTAGGGTGTCATTTTATTGCTATTTTTGTATGTTAAGATGGAGAATTTGGGGGATATCGTGTTCATATAACACATCAAATAAATGGGACACCAATAAGGTGACAGATTGACTGATTTGATGCTCCATGTTCCTTGTGTCTTCACTCCACAACAAAGGATCAAATAATCCCCACCCATTTTAATAAAGTTTTGAAGCAGATTATCAAGTGCAATGGAAATATGGGAGCATTTTTACAAATCATAGAGATACATGTCAGCTCATAAAGAGAAGGGCACATGTATAGCATCCACCTCTTGTCTCTTGAGAAAACCTTGAATGAAGAAAGACTTTAGTGAGCAAGGAAAGAGGAAGAAGGAGGACCCTGACTGTCACCACTCATGTTGGTACCCCCAGAAACTAATTTAGATTTACTAAAGAGACAAGCAATCCTGCCTAACTTCCCTCAAATTAGGGTCTACCACTTTGAGCAGCTTAGTCCAGAGAAATCCCCAGAAAAGAATGGAGTGGCCCTGCCCATATTTCCACATCTCTGGAAGCAAACAGAATCCACTACCCTGATTCCTCATGAAGTAACCAGGCAGTCTTGCCACCCACTATCAACCATAGGTATCCTACTCCATTGGTTTGGTCTACATATCCATGATCCTGGGAAGTAGTCAGGAAGGTTTTCTGACTTTCTTGGCCCATATTGATGTCCCCAACTAGTATCAAATATCCCTCATCCTGTTCTGGTCCCAAGAAGCAGCTGGGCATCCCATTCTCAGAAGCTATTCTTACTGAGGCCATGAGAACACCTTTACCCATGACCATCCACCTTGTATCACAAGAAGCAATTTGGGAATACTTGTTGAGTTGTACTCTGATGTCCTATGAAGTCAACAATTAAGATCTCATACATTGATGGATGCCTATATTGGATCCCCTGGTACTGCATGGTCTTTGCACAAGCCTTAGACATAGCACCATACCTTTATTAACCAATTAAAACTTATGGGCATCTCACATTCACTACTGTGTACACTGTGCAAAGAGTTGCCAGTGAACCTTGCCCTACTCTGCATGAGCTGCATCTCACCTAGCACTCTAATTCCAAAATTTTCTGTAGTCTAAGTGTTGAGATGCAAAGAGATATCACCAACATGAATTATAGATATAAAAAAATTAGATAGATACTACATTAATGCATCCAGCTGTACCAAAGCCAACACAATATATCCAACCAACCTCCTAGGATATATTATCAACAAAATGTTCTTTATTACAAAAGACACTCTAAAAATTGGTAGAGGAAATGAGCCACTAGATAGATAAATACCAAATAAGGATGCAAGAAGCATGAAAAGGCAAGGTGATGTGATGACTTTAAAGGAACACAGTATCTCTCTAGCAATCAGTTCTGGAAAAAAATGAAATAGATGAACTGACTAAGCTAAACAAGAGAGGAGCAAGACAGCAAAGAGTATATCAAACTATTAAGAAAACTAATCAACGAAATGACAAAGTGTGTCTTTATTTATCTGTAATTACCTTAAGCATAAACAGACCAAATTCCCAAATAACACATATTATAGAGACTAAATGGATAAGAAAATAAGAACAAACACACACACACACACACACACACAAATACACACACACACAAAAAACCCCAGAAACAATAGCAATGATATTCTGTTTAAAAGAAACTCTCTTTGGTTATAAAGACAACCAAAGATTAAATGTGAAAGGATAGAAAGTGTTTCACCAGTACATTGTAAACAAAAAACTTGCCAGAGTAGCTATAAATATTTCAGTTTAAATAAACTTTAAGTCAAGAACTATAACAAGAGACCAAATGGTCACTATATAATGATATTGAGGTCAATTCAACAAAGAGAAATAATAATAATTGTAAATATCCATTAACCACACTACGGAGTTCCCAACTGCATAAGTCAAACATTATTAAATCTAAAAGACAGAAAGACATTAATAAAATAATAATCTGGGATATCAAAAATCTATTTTCATGAATGGAAAGAAGACAAGGACAAACAAAGTCAGCAAAGAAACACTGGAATAAAATGATAATGTAGACCAAATTGACTTAACTGGACATATATGGTCAAACAGACATTGTAAAATATTTTATGCAACAACAACAACAGAATATACATTTTTGTCCTCAGCAAATAGAGTATTCTCCAGAATAGGACATGTTAGAATGAAAAAAATTCTAAAAAATTCAAAAAGGTTAAAATCATAGCAGGCATCTTCTCTAAAGTAAATGAAATTAATAGCAAGAGAGGCTTTAGAAATAGTAAAAATGCATGGGAAATAAATAACATTGTGTTGAAAGACAAAAGAGAGAATTAAATGAGAAAATGAGTGGGGCACAATGGTTCACGCTTATAAGCCCAGCTCTGGAGGTTGAGGCAGGAAAAGCCAGCCTCAGCAAAAGCAAGGCACTAAGCAACTCAGTGAGACCGTGTCTCTAAATAATATACAAAATGTTGTTGGGGTGTGGTTCAGTGTTCGAGTGCCCCTGAGTTTAATTCCCAATACCCCTTGCTCCCGGAAAAAAAAAAAAGAGAGGGAGGGATGAAATACTGTTATAAAATTAATATAAAACAAAACAAACCAACCAAACAAAATCAGAAAGAAAAAATAAAACATACCATACTTAAACATCTAGGACAGCAAAATCAATACTAAGATGCAAGTTTATAGCATTAAATGTGTATGTCAAAACAGAAAAAGATTTCAATAAGCTATATACAAAGGAACTGAATAAACAAGAAAGCAAAGACAAACCAAACCCAAAATTAGTAGCAGGAAAGAATTAACAGAGAAGAGAAATAATTGAACTTGAGACTAAAATTAACACATAAATGATGAAAGAAAAGGAGACTTTTTGAAAAGATTAACAAAATTGACAAATCTTTAGCTGGACTAAACAAGAAAAAAAGAAGCAAGACCCAAATAAATAAAATCACAAATGAAAAAGGCAGTATTAGAACTGATACTGTCAGGAAAGGAAGGGGGGGAGGGAAAGGAGAGATACTTAATAAGATTGATCAAATTACATAGGTGCATGTATGAATATGGCATAATGAATTCTATTATTATGTATAATTATAATGCACCAATAAAAATGTGAATGGCCTTTCTAGATATTTCTCAGAAAAGGGTACACAAATTGCTAACTTATATATGAAAAACAATGTTCAACATCATTAATCTCAGGGAAATCAAACCCAAACCATACTTAGATGTCATCTCACTCTGGTTTGAATGAGAAAGAAAGAAAGAAAAAAAGAAAGAAAGAGAAAAGAAAAAAGGAAGGAAGGAAGGAAGGAAGACCACACCAAAAATACAAAGAATAACAACTGCTGGTGTGGAAAGATGGACTCTTTATAGTGATGATGGAAATATAACTCAGTAAAGCCATTATGGAAAACACCATAGAAATTCCTCAAAAGTCTAATTACTCCAGTACTGAATATATATCTAAAGAAATTAAATTCAGTATGCCAAAGAGACATTTACACTCCTGTGTTTAGGGAAGCACTTTTCACAATGCTCAAGATCCAGAATCAACCTAGGTGTTCATTGATAGATAAGTGCATAAATAAAATACAGTATACACACAGAGTGGAATATTTTCTAGTCATAAACAAATAATGAAATTCTGTCAGTTGTAACATAGAGGGAAATGCAGGACAATGAAAATTTTTGAACAGAGAGACTATTAGGGCATCTGTTACTTATATGTGGAGCTGAATCCTTGACTTTAAATAAATAAAGATGAGAATATTGGTTACTGGAGCCTGGGAATGATGTGGGGGAGAAGGAGATGGAGAAAGGATGGTTAATGAGTACCAGGTTGCAATTGAATAGGTGAAAGAAATTCTTATGCTCCATTGCAAGCTACTAACTATGGCTAATAATAAATCATTAAATATTTCAAAATTGCTACTGTAGAAAATTCTGAATGTTCCCTACACAGGAAAGTGATAAACATCTGAAGTGACAGATACTTCAATTTTCTGAAAAGTCACATTTAGCTGTGCCTGGTAGCTGTGCCTATAGTCCCACCTAGTCAGGAGACTGAGATGGGAATATGGACCAGCCCAGGAGCTTGAGATTAGCCTGAACACAGAAAAACTTGGTAAAAAAGGAAATTTGATTATATTGTATCCTGTTTACATGTATGTTCCCTGTGTGTAAATTAATAAAATATATTTAAAATAGTCATTGAGACTACATGTTAAGATAAAGGTCAAATAAGTAAAATTTTCTTATTTAAAATATTTAGCTTAACCTATTAAATTTATATTCCTAAAAATGTGAGTTGGTGCAAAATTACCACATCATATGTGTCAAAATTAGCCTTTAGCCTTTATTCTTCATTAGGTATGTCTTATATTTAATATAATTAGGACTACAATTATTCTGTGCTTTATCAGACAAAGATAGGTTAGTCCCAAGGGAATAATGGGATTGTTTTAGAATAGCATTATGAGTTTATATTGGAATTATTATGCAGATATTGGGATCTTTTTAAAATGTGTCACAAATAAATGTGTACATTAGTCATTCATATTTCAGACAGAAACACTGTTTCTTTCCATAGACTAAGGAGGAATACTTACAAGGAATTTTTCTCTTCTCTTGAATCGTTTCTATGAAAATAAAACAAAATATGTTAAAAATTCAATACAGTTTGATTACATAGTTTTCCAGTGATGACATCTCTTACCTCCTCAGAAGAATCAGCACTCTGCGGGGGGAATAAGAAATTAATTAATATTTTAATTTTATAATTCAAGATTGATTATAAAATGACTACTTGCCACAATTACAATTAAACAGAAGGAAAGCAAAACTTTGAGTAGATGATACACTACTACTGTTATTATTTTAAAATTAATTATTACATAATTAATTTGTTATAGTCAAGTATCTATTCTCTTCCATCCATATTTCTTAAATGTGTGATATGGAGAAAAACTTTCTTGAGCATAGATAGGAAAGAAAAGTTGAAAGTGACATTTTTGATTTTTTAATATGGATAATTTGTAAGTAGCTCACAAGCTATTTAGATCCAAATACTTGGATAATAGAGTATACCATTATCCCTCTCTCTATTCTTCTTATTATTTTATTCCTCCTTATGTCATTTTGCAATGAAAAGTGACAAATGCTGGTCTCATAAGCAATTTGTTGTCTAAAACACTCATAGAATTACTGTGTCACTGGAAGTAATATTATTTGTGACTTAATTCTCAGTCACTATGTAAAATGAAGAGGAGAGGATGGCATGAGGAGGAAGATTAATATGAAGACCTCTGTTGAGTAAAGATTTCCAGGAATTTCATAAGCTATTAGTATCATTAATTCTGAAACACTTTAAGTGTTTTTATTTTTATATAAAGCTAATTACATTTGAATACATAAGATGATATATTGGAAATTTATTCTATGGCCTTAGTAAACTTTTATAGCTTATTTCAAGGAGTCTAAACCTATGAAAACATTAAATTTCTAAAGTCACATTCTCATGATTGCTAATATAGTCCAGCACACATAAAGAAAGACAGAATCTTTGGAAAGTTACTGAAAACACATTCTTCACAATTTTCTGATACACTTACTATCATGGAAACCATGAGAACCAGGAGAAAGGCCAAGACCAGGAACCTCATATTGGCTGAGTCCTATGAAAGCACAAGTGAGAATCAGTGAACTGTTTATTCCTGCACTCACACAAAAAGCATTCATTCTTCACACTATACCACAAAGCTTTGGAAAATCCTAGAGAAACAAAGATGATTAAAACACAATGTCAGATATTACAAAACCTAGGGATTGGAAATACTGATGAGCAAAGAGGTGTGCTCTGAAAACACTGAGAACTACACAAACAAATAAGTATTGTAATAGGGGAAAAGAATGAGACATTAAAATAAAAAAGTTGACAAACTTATATACAGTGTTAATTTTAAACAATAACAGATTTGATTCAATGTAGAAAAAGGCTATAAAAATATGATGTAAAATATTTACTAAGGGGATAAACTACTTTGAAAAGTTTACTTAAAGTATGGACATGATATATACATTGCGTAAGGGAACTTATGCTATTTTCCTACCAACTTTGGATTTAAACCTTAAATATGACATAAAAGTCACTATTTGAAAAGTAAATATCAGATATCTCATCAATAAAACAAAAGACTCTGGTAATTCCCACCAAACAAGGAAAAGGAACATGCCAATCCTTTTTCTACACATTCAATTTGTACAATGATTGATGAGGTCAGCTCTGAGGAATACAGATTCTGAATTCACCTTCACATCCTGACCTGGAATCATCAAATCCTTTATTACTTCTCTATGAAAAATTATCAATAGATAATATGTATCATAATAAATGATTATTAATTGATTTTAGTAAGAAAGGGATAGACTGATACATCATGTTACATTGTTCCTGAATACATTACCTGTACCAAAACTGAGACTGAAGAGTCAAAGAAGCTGCAGAGGCTGAGCAGAAGAGACTGTGATGTAGTCCCCTAGAGGGCTGGTGTATTTAAACACACTGAAATATCACCTTTGTTTTTCTAAATAATGTCAGGATCCAGGAAACTGGAAAGAATGCCCACAATCTGTCTCTACAACTCTAACATCAATTTAATAATGTGATTTTTACTGGAGAATATTGTGAAGGCTATGTGACCGGAAAACAAATAGACCCATCAAATGCTGATCTCTCTGTCAGTGGAGGCTTGTGAGGAGAAGACAGTGGGAAACACATTCTGGATTTCACGAAGCATAGAAATGATTGAAACGAGGAAAATTGTTTTGGTGGATCCTCAAGTGTTTTGTCCCAACAAATGCAATTTAAGCTTGTATCATGCCAAAAATGTTATTCACCATTTTATCAATATTTGACCTGTTCTGTAATAAATTGATGTAATTAACCTGACTTAATCAGAGCCATTGTTATGTTCAAATGTGTTTCCTCCAGATCATTATTTAAAATGTACTTTTGCCTTATTCCATTTACTTGAATACTTGAAGTCAGAAACTAGGTGCAAACAGTTGATGAAATTCAGTAATTTCTAGATATCCTATGACAAAACTCTTCCCATGTTTATTATGACTCTAAGAACTTAGTGCTATATTTTTCTCACAGCAACTGGGTATTTATGAGTGGGAGTTTAATTTCCTTCTATATAGTCTGTAGGAACTCATTTTCCTCCATCAAAGCCATGTCTTTATATTTTTTAGACACGGAAAAAAATTCACTGCATTCACTAGGTACTTTGTATAAATATCCACTTTGCTTGCTATTGGATAATTAATTCCTTGTTCTCAAAACTGAATATTAGAAAATCTTTTGTGAAATTTAGATAAATTATATAGCCTTATGCATTTTTACTCAGAATGTGATACAGTGCATCAGAAAAATCAGCACAACCTGTAGCATTATTTCTTTTTTTGAAATAAAAATTCCTGTTTCCTCTTTCCCAGTTTGATGAGTCAGGTTTGAGTATGCATTTGAATATCTCAAGGTGATTCTCTGAACTCTAAAGTTGGATAGATAATATAAAAAATGCATTTTTGTCTTTAGATTTGATTTCATAAGGAGAAATTAGATTAACTTCATATTAAGGTTTTTTAAACAATGTTTATTAAATGAATTTTCTATGCAATAGTGGAGCTGACACATTGAGAATTAGGATTACTTTGGGTTGAAAAAAATAAAAAGTTTTCTTATGTAATTTCAGAACAAATTTCCTAAAATTATTGTATTTTGTTATGTGATCCAATCATTTTATGTACATGTTCATTGTTGCATGAAAAGTGAAACAAATCTTGAGTGTGTTGTACATAAAACAAAGATTCATGGGGTTCAGTAACTATTCAAGTATGTCTGAATTTTGTAAATAAACCCCTGTTAATTTATTTTAAAAGTACTGATTATTTTTCTTCTTTCCTTCTTTCTGTCCTTAATTTTCTTCTCTGATTTACTCTTTGTTAATTTATTCCACCAGCATGATTAGCCACCATCATGGTGGATCTACAGTATTCACATCAAGTACACAAGATAATAATGCTTCAAGGATCACCAAACAACTTCCCACAAGTTAACAAATGCAGGTTAAAAGATGTTGAGCTGGTGAAGTGACGGGCTCCTATAATCCTAGGCCCTCGGGAGGCTGAGACAGGAATATTGTGTGTTCAAAGTCAGCCTCAGCAAAAGTGAGGTGCCTAGCAACTCAGTGAGATCCTGTCTCTTAAAAAGATACAAAAATGGTCTGGGTAGCAATTCTTTTTTTCCCTCAAATAAAGCATTTCATTTTTGTATTTGTTCTAATTAGTTACACATGATAGAAGAATACATTTTGATTCATTGTATACAAATGGAGCACACCTTTTCCTTTCTCTGGTTGTAAATGATATAGAGTCACACCACATGTGCAGTCATACAAGTACCTAGGGTCATGATGTCTCTCTCATTCCACCATCTCTACTACCCTCATGTTCCCTCCTCTCCCCTTTATCCAACCAAAATTCCTCCATTCTTCCTATGCCGTTTGAAAATAAAAAATAGTGAATGAAAGTGAAAAAAAATGGTCTGGGGATGTGACTCAGTGGTCAAGTTCAATCTCCAGAACAAAATCTCCAGTACAAAAAAAAAAAAAAAGGTTGAATCCACAATTAAACTTAAATCATTGATACTGAATTGGAACACCAAAATATGGGCATTGTCCCCTCATTACTTCCTGCTTCAACAAGTTAAAAAGAGAAGGGTCAGTGTGCAGCAGTGTGAAACAGCTGCAATGCACTGTAAACAAAGAAGGAAACTTATGTGCTATAGTCCTATACTCAGGAACAGTACAGATAATTGTGGAAGACTGATGGACCATAACACATCTGATATTACATAATTGAGCAGGTCAAATGCCTTATTATCTATAAACAACATGATGGTCTTTGAAAATACCAAGTGCCATAGCCTGTGAAATGCCATGGTGTTCATTTAAAAGGGAAATATCAGTGAAGGCCCATGGGCATATCAGAGGTGCTAGATTTCATAGGTGCTTTTAGGATCCTACTCAAGAATGAATATTTAGAGATATTTTTGTCCACTTCCTCTTCCTCTTCCAAAACACACCTTATTTACTTTTTAACTAAAAAATGCTCATGATGTATGTATATGTTTGAATTATCAAAAAATACTGCAGTTGACCATATTGAAGAGTGTGTGACTATCTAGAACCCCTTTAACACTACATTACAGTGGCAAGCTGGGTATCTTATCTTTAGGGGCTAGCTGTATAACAGATGAAGCATACAAGGTTGAGGTAACTACAGAAACAGAAATCCAGGAACAGATTAATTACATATGTTTAAATTAGGGAAGAGAGTGAGCATGCTAGTTCTATAACTTAACAACTTGTCAGATTATTGATTGTATTCAAAACTCTGAAAATAGAGATTTTACAGGACAGATGTGTCAAGTCCTTAGAAGACATAGGCTGAGGATAGATTCTATATCACTCCAATGTAATGAGAGAGAGAAAATAGAGAAGTTGATGAAAATCTCTGAGTAGGAAAGAATAACTGAAAAGAAGAATATTTCCAGTTAAGGTGTGTATTATAGAAACAAAGGGGATGAAATTTCATGAAGCTTAGTGCCCATAAGCAAATGTTGCAGTCTACTTGGAGGTTACTTAAGTCATGAAACTGCAGTTGTCTCTGGAAAACTGTTACCATATTAGTTAAATCTGGGTTAAATGGGAATGTGTAGAAATTACACTGCAAATAGGTATTGCTCAAATATAAATTTAGGTATTGTCCTTGTGATTTTCATTATCACAATCTTCATTAGAAGCAAGTATTCAGAGGTGGTGCTTTGGGAAAGAGATTGCATCATGAGGTCTCTGATCTCATCAACAGATTAATCCATTGAGGGATTTATATTTAATGGTGTTATTGGAAGTGGTAGAAATGGTCAGTGTGGTGACTAGTTGGAAGGTTACTGGAGAGGTGTCTTGGAAAGGGTGAATCTTGTTCTTGGCCCCTTCCTTGCACTCTCTTTCAGTCCTTCCCTCTGTTCTTGATGGCCATGATGTGGGCAGCTTCCTGTGATGCTCTATGGCTACAATGTTTCTGCCTAGGAGCCAGTTGATGACAGGCTGAGACCTCTGAAAGATGAGCCAAATAATCTTTTTCTCCTACATTGTTTCTCATGTATTTTATCCCAGTGATGGAAAGCTCACTAACACATTGGTATAATATTAGTTTTCCTTCTTCTAGTTGTTTATTTGAATTTTGTTTGCTGTGGCCTCTCAATGTTCTTGTCTTACAAATCACATGGGGAATATTTTTAAAATGCAGATTCTGACCCCACTGTTCTCAATGTGACTTTACTCTCTGAATTTCTCACAAGTCCCCAGATTATGCTCTTACAGCTTCTGTAGCTTCTGCAAAGATATTTCAGGAGGAAAAGTTTTAAGCAACATCCAGGCACAGCTCCAGTGGCGGGATGGGTTGAAGTCCCATACACCATTCTGATCATGGTTTTATATACCACGTCTTGTAATAGACTCCTCAATTCTACAAGGTCATTAGGTATCATAATACCTAGTTTGTTGATGATAAGATTGAGATTTATAGTGGATTCAGAATAGTTCAAGGTCAT